ACTTCAGTCTTGATCGAAAGCATTGTCGTTGAACGAGATTGAGTTCTTCTTTCTTCCAACCAGAGTTTCGTGACTTTATTCTATATCGAATTTCTCACTTGAAATGCATACCTTCAGAGTATTACATTCAATTTCCCGGTTATAGATTTCCATTTACCGGGATGGATTTAATATCAATATTCATGTAACAAGCTCGTACGATGCAGCTTCACGGATTTTCGGAAATTTTCTACTCGAGCAAGAAACCGAACGATCCGAAATGCTAGGAGAAAGAAGACAAGATTTGCAAAGACGGGGAGAGAGAGTGAGAAAGATAGAAAGATGGGGTGTGTGAAACTAATCGAGATTTTAATTGAGTTGCCACGATAATCGCATCATCGTCGATAATTCCATACCAGATAGAATATGTCCACAATTTGGTATCTCATATCCGTTAATTAAACTGAAAACTTCCGAACGACAACGTAGTTGCTTTTCGGCGATCAAGGAAAAGATTGGCGACCGTGACGAGCAAATAGGAAAACGGGTGAAAAAGAGCGACGAACAGAGTTATCTACGAGCAGGAAATTGAAAGAGGAATAATTTAGTAAAGAGGAAGATGAGCAGAAAACAGGATACTGGTTACGATGGATAATTTTATTGAACACAAAGATCTTTTATGAAGATGAACAAATTTAATATTAAATAAATTATAGCTAACAAACACTTGGTATGCCAGTTTCATAAATTTCAATGTTCAAAATGAATATTATCATTGTTTTGAATAAGCAGCTGTCTGTAAATTTCGAACAGCTGGTGGCTTGAAAAATATGGATTTTAGTCTGAAAAAAAATTAATTGTTTCATCTGAAACAGCTTAATACAATCGATTGATTGGTAAATTTATGAGGTATCGGTTAGGCTACGGATGTTAGGCTTCTAGAGCTTAAGAAAAATAAAAATGTTTGCACATGGGAGTGTGTTTGGTATCAGAAGAAAAACAATGGCACAATATCTCTTGGAGTATAAGGAAAAGCTGAGGTGTAATAACACTGTGAGATATTTTTTGGTTCACAAATATTTATTTTGGTATCCCCATGCTTTACGCATCTGCTCATTGCAATTTTATCATGAATGGGAATTAATTAGAAATTTTACTCAGGGAATATTATTATTGAATTCTTTGTCTTTAAATTATCTTTTCACAAGTGAGAATAAGAATCACTTTCGTAAAGCGATCATGAATATGTAGAATTGAAATGGAATTGAAAACGAGGGACAATAGGTTCACCGAGATAGAAAAGGCAAAAAGCAGACATTAAAAGGAACGGAAATAAAATTGTTGTCACACGTGTGAAAATGAAAACGCTTCACTGCTGGACTGATAAGATGTGTTAAGGAAATTGAAAGCTGAAAACCTTCGATGTCTGCAATCATACGTTTCTACGTGATCGTAAGTTCCACTGGAGGATTATTTAATACAGAAAACATAATAAAAGATATAGTTATTCAAGATTTAAAGACGAAGAAACAATAAATAGCATCAATAAAAGAACCAAACACTTGCTGTTTTGGTTCTTGAATATTTAATTACTGTTTATAGAAATGATGTGTGTATTTTTAATCGTTTCATTCAGACCAGTGTGGAACTTTCCACGTGTATTAAACAGATTTCATAACAAACTGAGCATGTAACAGTTGTTCAAACATAATAATGAAAAGTATGCAATATTGGAAGTACACATCATTAAGTATAAAAATCTGTTGTTGATTCAAGCTGAAAATATTGAAAACATTCACCGAATTCACAATAATAATCAACGAGATTAGAAAAAAATAAGAAAAATAAATAAATTATTCAGTAATTTAAAATAAAATTCTTGAAATTAATTATTTAGATGAAATTACGAATGATACGCTATCAAATTTTATGTTTTGACACGGACCAAAGCCATTTATGTTTAGGAAACTAATGGTAACAAAAATTGTCGATGATCTACATAGCTCGCTATGTCCTACTGAAGATCCTTTCCCTTCTTACATATTTACTCACATAACATCTTGATATATATGTACCTACAAAGCGTATAAAAACAAAGTTGTTAATAGACCTGAGACCTCTCTGTTGATCAAATTCGGAAGATTGATAAGCGACAGTAAAAACATCTTGTACCAACAAAAATATCGATTCACGTTACTATAATCTCAGGAAAAAGTTTCCAAGTTCTAATTTTATCTATCTAATCGTACTATAGATAAAAAATTTAAGGGTTTTTGCAAATTTCTTCACTAATTTCTTATTAGTTGAAAATTCTTTTCATTGATAATCAAAGCGTACTATTCACATTTTTGACAATTCGATTGATTAACTTCAACTAAAGAATAATGACCGAATAGAAACGAATGAAAAGTGAATAATTATAATCAAAGAACGCCGATATACAGGAGAATCATTCGAAGCTGCACAGGCTTCCCTGCAATGCGGGCTTTTACTTTCAGTCGGCCGAACATTTCGCCAGCACGTGCCTCCTGATCGATCCTGCGTATTTTCCAGGAGTCGTGAAACGCAGTTCGACATCTATAAGGAAATCCTTCTTGTGTCCTCTGCCGTTTAAGAGAAAAATGGAGGATCCTTGAGCGGGACGGTTACTGTTCGATCGATTAGCAAGGGTTTTGCCAAATTCAATTCGAGCCTTTTCCGTTTCAGAACTGCTCGTTCCCGATTTTTATTGGTCTCCACTTACACAGAAATTTCTTAGACGATTCCGTTGCACGTTTTAAGCACACGATTTTCCTGTATCGGCCATCAAAATCAGCGGATAATCAACGGTGTTTGATTTACGTTCTTCGTGGAAGTTGCCGAAAGAGTATTATGTAAATCAGCTGGACATTGTATCGGAAATGTTGAAAGTTAAGCGGTTTCGGTTTGTGTGTTTGGAAAACTTTTTAGGGGCCATTGATACTTTCGGGGTTGTTTTACTTTCAATTCGGCTCAGCTGTGCTTATGCGATAAGTAAAGGTTTGCTGAATTTATATCGGTATTGATTTTAATAGAGGGTGTTTCCGTAAGAAGTAGTCATTTTGAGTTTCTATTTTAAAGAGAATTTTATATACAAAATAATTAAATTTTCTATGTTAATTTCTTCTACAGAGAAAAAGTTACAAAATTAAAGTAATATTTATCTAATAAAACGAAGAAATTTTTCTAAATTCGTGGCAGTATATTAAAGTTTAGTAAGTAAACTTAGTAGAGAAGAATATTTCCTTTTCATTCTGTTTGGAACGAATTATTAATAATTATTAGTCACTCGTATCGGAATACGGAAATGGTGCTCGCGAAGGGGTAAGAACGGGAAGTTGCCTGAAAAATGAGAGAATACGGAAGCCAAGATATTTCACGGACGTCGGCATTCGAACTATAACGAAATCTTTCTATGCTTTCGACTCGACGCTCGAATAAAATGAGTTAGGTATCCGTGACGGGTCGTAGAAAACGAATTACCAACTCGCCGGAAGTTCGACGAGAGACAGGGACGTCCAAGAATCGGGAAGCGGAATCATTCGTCGGTTTATACGTGTTGAAGGGACAGCAAAAGCTGGCGCTGAATATAAAAGCTTATTGTAAACGGCTCTTAAAATTGTACGATCGAACGTGCTGGCGACGAAAGCGGAAGTCGAACCGTGTCTCGAATTCTTCGAGGACTTGGAGGAAAGTGATGTGGTCGTGTTCAAATTCGAAAAAGGATCAAATGAATGGGTAAATGACTTGTAGGAAATTGTAATTGAACAGGACATTCAATAATTTTATTTATTTTCAGTTGTCTTTCTAAAAGATTGACAATTTGACAATCATTTTTTTTTTTTTTTTGGTACAGTCATCAAACGGTCAAGCAGAATTCAGGGTTCAGAGCGTCTATTATTACCACGAACCCTTAATTCGATGAAAATCTTCTCAGGGGAATCCCAACGCGTCGAAAACTTGGATAAAGTTCCTTCACCTAAACCGAATTACGGAGCAGATCGTGGGCGTTCACGAGGAAAACGTTTGGCAATCGCGAAAAGTTCGGTTGTTTCTAATCTACTTTTTCCCCCTTGATCTTTTTATCAATAGCTTTCATTATTTACACCACACACGATATCGCCACAATTGTTTCCGCACTGTTTCGTGATACTGTTTGTTACAGATACCGTAGAGATACCAATATATCTCAAAGTAGGATGTAACAATGGTTATAGTAATTGTTTAACAATTATTTTTCCATTTGTATAATTTTTTTTATTTTTGAATAATGGTCAAGGCATAGGACAAACAAAGAGTAGTGTCATATTCAAGGCTGAATGACAACATCAGGTTATTACTGACGATGAGAAACATTACTTGGTGGACATAAAGCTAGTGCAACTCTTCAGTATTCATCTATATCAATGGTTAGTGCTATTATCTCGTCATTAACAATGCCTATCTGTTGTTCCAGTACGGAAATGGTAAACATGCATTTTATCTATCACCTTGCCGCCAGGAATACTTTTCCTGCTCCAATTTTAATTCTTCATTTTCTTTCCGAAATTTTGCACCTTTTATCCAAAGAATTGATACTAGAAGCTAACGAAATCGAGTGTCTCTCTCATGCATGGCGTACACGTGCATGCTTTCCGTTGATTGTGTGAGTGCACGCATACAGGTCATGGCACAAGGAATCTGTGCCCTTAAGGATCTTTTGTTATTCTCAGTGAGTACATTTACATTTACCAGAAACAATAGGCATTTAATTGGTACCTACTTTTACTGAAATTTGGAACCATAATTGAATTGTACACTTGAACCATAACAACGGTAGTCTATCTCGTTGAAATCAGTTGACACAAGTCACACCCGTTATTTTCGATATACAGTTTGATTTTCTCGAAAATAACAATATCCCCTTGTATCCCTGCTTCGTACCCCACGGTAGCTACGATCGCGCGTACCTCGCATGCGGGTACATGTGCCGGTGGATGTAACGCTTGCGCAGTCGAGGCGCGTCGCCAGACAGCTCGCCGCTTCGGTTGCATCCGGCGGCAGTTCGCAGTCGTCTTCTAAAGCAAGCTCATTAGTCTCTCAGCACTCGGCCGGGACACTTTTTCGTGGATCAAGCTCGCAGATATTGTGTGTCCCGTACCATAAACACCTTTGTCTCCTCCTTTCTCACCCCATTCGTCGCTAAAACCCCTTTCAACATTATAACGACGATCAGTCTTTGACTCTGAACAAAGTTTGCGCAGAGTGCTCCTCCCGTGTTCCAAACAGGACTATCTTGCCGCGAGGGGATGCAATCGAATTCGATGGGTTGCAGTGCACGTGTTAGTTGACTGTCGCGGAGCATCGAACCCCACACGACCACGCGTCTCTCCCTTTTATTCGAAGGACCTACGCAAGGTCCAAAACGTTTAGTATCCTCCAGGAGGGATTTCCGTCCGTTTCTCTGTGAAGGTTCACCAGTTGGTTGATGGTCGGGTGTCAGGGTAGAGATATTTTACCGGAGGAAAATTCTGTATAAAGAGAATATAGTTGATTCGGTCGAAGAGGAAGAACGGATCCAGATAGGGAGGATCGAAGCGGCTGGAAGGAGGACTCGGGCGGGTTAAGGTCGTCGACACGACGACGCGTCGCGTACGGGGCGGAACGGGAAGTCAGAAGACGGGGACGCTATCGAGGACGGCCGATGGTCGAAACAACGTCGATCCAACGGTTCGCGATCAAGTTCCCGATGCTGCAGCCACCGTCTCCCTTATTGGAGATGGCATCCCTGCGTCTGCCGGACTCGGAGGAGTTCGACGTCGACACGCGTCGTAGAAGTAACAACGGTAACGTTCAGCCTACGACCGTGTCGGCGGTGCCACCAACTACCGGCACCCTCCTACAGATGAGGAACGATCTGGGTGATTATTTGAACAATCTGATCGCGGAGGCCATCACGACCAATCCAAGGACGTCGATGGAGGAGCACGGTGGACTTTTGAATGCTAGTAAAACGGCGAACCTGTCGACCGCCGAACAAATACCCGACCGTCTGTACAGGCATAGCATGGCTATGTCGGCGGTTTATTGTGTCGCCTACGTCCTGGTCTTCGTCGTCGGTCTGATCGGGAATAGTTTCGTCATAGCGGTAGTGTATCGGTCCCCGCGGATGAGGACCGTCACGAATTTCTTCATCGTCAACCTTGCTGTTGCTGATGTCCTCGTCATCGTGTTCTGCCTACCGGCTACTCTGATGAGCAACATATTTGTCCGTGAGTGCCAAATTAATAAGTTTCATTTTATGTTTTTCTATGTTTTCTCTGTAGATCGTTCGAATCTCGAATAGGACGATGTGATCGAAAGGGCGGGGAGGAAAATGGAAAATGGTCAGTCGGCGAGATTGAATCGATCGATGGTATTGATCGCGAATGTTGGGTCGATTGGGCGGAAGAAAAAAAACGCGAAAATTGGATCGAAGGTGATTAAAGGGGTGGCGGGGTGGTCGCGATTCGTTCGTTGTCGATTTGTCGTTGCAGGGTGTCCTCGCGCGACTTTGAGCGGGGCAAAGAGGGTGGCTGGCGGGGATCCCTTGGTACTAGGGAATCGATCCCTTCGCGATTCTCTCCGGCGCTGTTCACGCTCGGTGCGCCGAGCGTATCGCGATTCCCAGCTTTCAACGAACGACAGCTTCGTCTCGAGCAACGGTGAATAAATTATTCGATAATGGAGTCGCGGGGTAAATCTCAGCCGATTCTTTTCTATTTATTCGCGATTCGATACAGAACGATTTTAATCTCGCAAGACGATGGAGGCGCACCCGTTCCTGCCATGTAAACGATCAATTCAATAACGATTAATTAAATGGGTCAGTTAATACTGATAACACCGGTGGATAACGAGCCTCGCATCGTGGATAAATATGAATTTGTCGTTGGCACGAGGTGCAATTAAGCCGAGATCGTTAGGCGCACATCCGTTGGCTAACGTCCGTCGAATCACAAACAGTCGTGGCTTAAGCTGCAAGGACGACGCGCATACGATTGTAAACAGCATCTTTACGACGCTTTTCGTCTCGTGTTTGTCAGTTTGATCGCGCGTTACGAGCTCGTTCCGTTCGTCCGGATTTATGAAGATCCAACGGTAGATCTTTCGTATCGATCGTTAACTATCTTGCAATTTGTAGCTATCTTGTCTCGATTTTACTATCTGTGTTAGGGATTCGGAGTTGAAACTTGTTCGAAACGTGATAAGATATTTTTTTCCAATTTTACCAGTCAATTTTTTCCTGCCTTTTTTATTGCTGGTAGAATTTTTTATTTTGTAGTTTCCATTTATAATTTTCAGGAACATTAGTTCCTTCTTTATTATTGTAAATAATTTTTTAGCTTGGAATTATTAACATTTTAAAGGACAGATCAAGTCATTTTCTTTATTGAAATTCATCATTACTCAATCACTGACAGTTTTAGAAAAACGAAGATTTATCTTTTTGTTGCAGGTTCTAAAAGATCTAGAAAAACATTTAATTGCCGCCAATCATCGCACATAAATCTTTTATCACTTTCCCGTGCTCGTAAATGAACTTTGATCAAGAATCCTTAACTAATCGTCGACGGACGACCATCTCTCTTCAATTTTATCGCCACGTGTCATAAACAAGCTACTATATTCTATTGATCAAAATTCGCTGAAATCTATTTTCCGATTTCCAAATGAACGCATAATAAAGGTATTCTCGTAACGATTGACTTACCTTCGCGTAATTGCAAAGGTCGTTGTAATTGTAAACAGAAACGCATCGTTTGACCATGAGCTTCCAGACTTCTTGCAGAGGCTAATTAATTGCTGGCGTGTCGCATGATTAACGACGTCATTAGCACGCACTCGCTTTCAACTCGACTCGAACTTGTTTTTCGCGAGAGACAAAAATTTTCCTTGCAACTTGCAGTCCCATAGAAGATACTTCCTACAGAATTTACTTGCATCTAATGGAACAAGATCAACTTTTTTACAATTTGAGAAACGTTCTTGTGGAATAACACTTTTTTTATTTGGACCGTCATTAAAATCGTAGAGAGACACAAAGTTTTCCACTAACTCTGCTTGTTTTTAACGAAAGAAATCGAGAGTCTGTAACGAAATTGAACTGGTCTCGTTCGTTTTTGCGGCGACATAGAACTTCCTCTGTTTCCTGTAGTACGATCATTGAACGGTGAGAAGAAGCTTCGTTTTCGCGAAATGACTTTTGCGCCAGGGAATCGTGGACAATGTTTTTCTTAGGTCTTTGTCAAGTAATTTACTACCTTACTCGTGGCTGCGGATGAAAATGTTTTTCCCGAAGCAGACAGTAATAAGGTCATTTTCAAAGAATCTTTTCATTGTGTTTGATCGTTTGGAAAATTCATTCCATTTAAAATAATTATCCGAAATTTATTAAAATTTTTTAAAATATTTTTCAAGTTTTAGCTGCAATATTTGTTTCATGGATAGTGCTCGTTATCGATGCTAATTCGTTAGAGAACAGAAACTCAGCACGGATCGCGAACACAACGCATTAAGCTCGTTTCATCGCGTTATTATGCATTGATCAGTAGTCAAAGAAGGGTGTCGACCAATATCGTTGTAACGTAATCGTTCCCGATTACACTCTAATAACGCGGCAGTATTTCGAATCGTGGTTATAACGCAATTACACGAGTTTCCATGGATTTGCATAGTTTTCTAAACGAACATTTGCCTCGGTCGCGCCTCTTCCGGTGTGGGAGCTTTGAAGTGCACGTTTCCCGGAATACCAATGCTCTGTGAAAAACGTTCTTCGAGCGAGAAGATTAAGTAAAATCAAGAAAGCTTTGGCGGATTCTTTTTTATTGTCGCCGACGAAGAAAAAAGAGCGACACGGGATGTTGGATGTTTGTCTGCAAGCTTTTCGTGAAACTTATTTCAGCGGTTTCTTCGTTAATTGAGCCGAAAGTTTAGCAGAATGAAAATTAAAGACTTGACGGACGTTCAGAGAGTTTTAAGTTGGTGGTAACGTCGTGGAAGTCAAATGTTGTTAACAGAGTTTATGTTACATAACGAAAAGTTTCGCCGGAAATAGAGTATTCGGAACGCATAAGTGGACTGAAATAAAGAAAATAGAAGTATATCCATCGATTTACAACTTTTTAATGCTTCTATAATATTTCACCGTTGGTTTTATTAAAAGTTACTGTAATAGCAGTTTTAAAGCTGTTCTATAATCACGTTAAAGTCAGCTAATACGAGTTTTATATTCCTCAAGTAAGTTGTTCGTAATTATAGATCGAGTGGCTAAATATTCATGCTCGTCGAATGAATTATGCTTCTTTAAATAGCATACCGAGAAGTTGAAATAAAAATCTGTAGAGTATCTAAACTCTAAAGTAACTTCTTCAAGCAGTTATTCTTCAATAGGTTTTTTAATCCTTCTTGCAATTAATTCTAACTTTTTTTTTTATTTATTTAACAAGTGAATCTGTAAACTGTGAATAGACGAGAGAGTGAATAATCACGAGATTCCGGATAAACTATCCTCAAAATGACGTTAAACGTCTCAGCGGTGTATTTACGTCTGTATTAAGATCTTCCTCATTAAAGTTATCACTTTATCAATCTCGGTTGCCGAGAAGAGGCGGAGGCTAACGACACTTTCATAAGCGTATGAATATCATTCTTGGGAAGGAGATTTTTAGGTCGTTCGCTCAGCATCTCTGAAATGAAACTTTCAATTCGTAGAATATTTACCTGTAGTATCAAATATTCGAAGTCCTCATTTTTGTTTTCATTGCAATTATTCTGCTATTGTAATTAATAATTTTTACAGTCAAATGCAGATCTTTACTATTAATGCATCCCTCGTATCTTTGTGTTATTGGAACATGAAACCAGTGTTTTGAAAACGTTTACCTCGAAAATATTTCAATATTATTCTCTTTACAAGGCTACGCAATCTGGCAAATACATATAGCTAGAGATGAACGTTGCAGATGATTGCAAGAATACACTCAAGGACGAACCATTTATCGAAGCTTAGAGCTTTCAGTTTGGGAAATTAGAACACATTTATAATTTTATTACTGTCACGCAAGCATTACAAAAAATAACAATTTGCTAAGTAATCATTAATTATTAAGCACATTCCAAAATGAAGATTTATTCGTATCTTCTATTTTCACTAGCAGACAGAGATCTCCTACTTCGGTGCCTTGTATCTTTTAACCAAATTCGAAATCATCGAAACGATGACTTAAACTCCCATCAATTTTACACAAATTATATTATACTTCAGCATTATGAAAATTCCTTCTGTCTGATGCGAAAACCGATCAATCCGTCGCGAAACGTGCTCGTTAGCCCTTCAGTCGTAATCAGCTCGTGAAGGTAACTCGAATTTCTAAAATTCGGACGATAAATATTTGAAAGGGCCGAGCTAGACCCATTAGCTCGTCGTTGGAACGCAGTTACGCGAATACGGGCGATGAAATCAGCCTCGTCGTGGTCCGACGATCGACTCTGAGCGCGAGTATTCGATCGCTCAAATTCGATTTACCGTGTCGTTAGTCTAGAATCCCGAGATCGCTGTCAATTTCCATTTCAAAGCAAACGGGAATCGAGCCTAGTCTCGTGTACCTGCACACCTCCATCCCATTGCACACGTGGAAGATACGAACGTGCCCAGTCATGGGGTATGCGAGGTTGAATAACTTCGTCGTCCACAGAGACTGCTTTTAGGCTAGTAAAAAATCACTTTAGTCTCTGATAAAAATTTCATCTGTGATAGAAACGTAGGACTTCATTGTTTTTATCATTTTCCTATCGTTACTAATTCATCTTTATCAAATTGTAAACGTTGACTTTGTATTATTTTGTGTGTATCAAAAATTTCCACAATCAAAGCACGTAGCATTGGTCTAGGAAGAGAAAACTAGAAGCAGGGCTTCGACTTATTAATCAAAGTCACTGCTCTAGCCAGTTATCGCTTATCTTCCGGATTTGCTGGCAGTTTTGTTCGAATAGAAATGCCCGTGGTCTTGCGGGATTATCCGTAAATCCGGGATTGTATTCAAATAAGATTGTCTAGCTGAATCTGAATAGCTCGGTAGGAAATTTTTATCCGCTTCTCTAATTGATTCAACGATCCTGATAACCAGAAACAATTCACTGTTTCGGTTTATACGAATACCCAGTGATTCGAATTATTCTTCTTGGTAGTAAAACATCCTTATATAGATTAATTTTAAATTCAGAATTTAAT